CACACACACACACACACACACACACACACAAACACACACACACACGCAAAAAAAAAAAAGAAAAAAAAAGACGCCATGTACGTTGATGACGAAAAATAAGCAGAAGAGCTGCATGCATCTAGATTGCATTCACGTTGCAGTACAATTGTCTCTGGCACAAAATTTAACCGTATAAACCTCTCCTCGGAGTAGAATTTACATGCATCTGACCTCGTTCATTCTACGTCGGCGTAGAATTGCATGCGTCTGCCCTCGTTCAATCTACGTCGGCGTAGAATTGCATGCGTCTGCCCTCGTTCAATCTACGTCGGCATAGAATTGCATGCATTTGCCCATATTCTACGTGTATGCATGAGTTATCGTTGAATTCTACGTCGAATTGCATGCATCAGCTGTCATTCAGACACGAAGAAGCAGCACTCAATTCAAGCTGCCAATTTTGATAATCGACACCCAGCGAAACTTGCGGCAATTGTCGTCTGTTACCTACCTTCATATTTCCCATCTCACTGATCCCACCAGCTGTGCTTGCTGGACGTAGATCTCACTCAAAGATCTCCGATCGCGGGTTGTAATTCGCCCTTCTCTCGTTCTCTCCCCTTCGTTTCCTACTCTACTGCCGCGCAATGAAGCGGAAAGAGAAGAGAAGAAGTCGAATCGAAGCAGCAGGGAACAAGACTCTGCCAAGCAAAGGCACCAGGAAGCTTAGCATACGCACCATGATGATGATGATGATGGTGGTGGTGGTGGTGGTATTGCTGACGATGATTATGATGATGCTGATGACAGTGATGACGTGCTGAGGACCAATGCGATGCAATTGGTTCTACAGATGGTACGCCTGCTAATCACTTGGCAACGCGACACACGCGCGCACGCACAGACAGACAGACAGAGAGAGAGAGGGTCCATACTACCTAGACAAGGGGTATACTGGTATGCCTTGACTCTGTCTCTTATACACATCTAGATGTGTATAAGAGACAGCTCTCTCTCTCTCTCTCTCTCTCTCTCTCTCTCTCTCTACCTACCTACCTACCTACCTACCTACCTATCTATCTATCTATCTATCTATCTATCTCTCCCTCAGTTCGTCTCAACTTTTCTTCCTATTTCGGACGTAATCCCTTTTCAGTACGCCAGCAACAATTAGACGGCTTCGTTTTCCCCTACAGCATTCAGTACACGTCTGCAGTACGGGTGTACTTCACACCCACCCACCCACACAACCCTCCACCCACCCACACAACCCTCCACCCACCCACACAGCCCTCCACCCACCCACACAACCCCCCCCACCCCACCACGCATCCCCCCTCATCAGAAAAAATACACTCCCCTCTTCGCTCTTCAAGTGCTCCATTTCTCTTCGTGCTCTCTTCTCCTCGCAAAATCTACGCTCGCCACGTCTAATATCTCTCCAAATGCCAATTCTCTCTGCAAACACAAACCAT